GTTTCTCTTGAAGGGTTGGAGGCTGAGCAGGGGGTTTCTCTTGAAGGGTTGGAGGCTGAGCACAGGGTTTCTCTTTAAGGATTGGAGGCTGAGCACAGGGTTTGTCTTTAAGGGTTGGAGGCTGAGCAGGGGGTTTGTCTTTAAGGGTTGGAGGCTGAGCAGGGGGTTTCTCTTTAAGGGTTGGAGGCTGAGCAGGGGGTTTCTCTTGAAGGGTTGGAGGCTGAGCAGGGGGTTTCTCTTGAAGGGTTGGAGGCTGAGCAGGGGGTTTCTCTTGAAGGGTTGGAGGCTGAGCAGGGGGTTTCTCTTGAAGGGTTGGAGGCTGAGCAGGGGGTTTCTCTTGAAGGGTTGGAGGCTAAGCACAGGGTTTCTCTTTAAGGGTTGGAGGCTGAGCACAGGGTTTCTCTTTAAGGGTTGGAGGCTGAGCAGGGGGTTTCTCTTTAAGGGTTGGAGGCTGAGCGCGGGGTTTCTCTTGAAGGGTTGAAGGCTGAGCAGGGGGTTTCTCTTGAAGGGTTGGAGGCTGAGCACAGGGTTTCTCTTTAAGGGTTGGAGGCTGAGCACAGGGTTTGTCTTTAAGGGTTGGAGGCTGAGCACAGGGTTTGTCTTTAAGGGTTGGAGGCTGAGCAGGGGGTTTGTCTTTAAGGGTTGGAGGCTGAGCAGGGGGTTTCTCTTTAAGGGTTGGAGGCTGAGCAGGGGGTTTCTCTTGAAGGGTTGGAGGCTGAGCAGGGGGTTTCTCTTGAAGGGTTGGAGGCTGAGCAGGGGGTTTCTCTTGAAGGGTTGGAGGCTGAGCAGGGGGTTTCTCTTGAAGGGTTGGAGGCTGAGCACAGGGTTTCTCTTTAAGGGTTGGAGGCTGAGCACAGGGTTTCTCTTTAAGGGTTGGAGGCTGAGCAGGGGGTTTCTCTTTAAGGGTTGGAGGCTGAGCAGGGGGTTTGTCTTTAAGGGTTGGAGGCTGAGCAGGGGGTTTCTCTTGAAGGGTTGGAGGCTGAGCAGGGGGTTTCTCTTGAAGGGTTGGAGGCTGAGCAGGGGGTTTCTCTTGAAGGGTTGGAGGCTGAGCACAGGGTTTCTCTTTAAGGGTTGGAGGCTGAGCACAGGGTTTCTCTTTAAGGGTTGGAGGCTGAGCAGGGGGTTTCTCTTTAAGGGTTGGAGGCTGAGCGCGGGGTTTCTCTTGAAGGGTTGAAGGCTGAGCAGGGGGTTTCTCTTGAAGGGTTGGAGGCTGAGCACAGGGTTTCTCTTTAAGGGTTGGAGGCTGAGCACAGGGTTTGTCTTTAAGGGTTGGAGGCTGAGCACAGGGTTTGTCTTTAAGGGTTGGAGGCTGAGCAGGGGGTTTGTCTTTAAGGGTTGGAGGCTGAGCAGGGGGTTTCTCTTTAAGGGTTGGAGGCTGAGCAGGGGGTTTCTCTTGAAGGGTTGGAGGCTGAGCAGGGGGTTTCTCTTGAAGGGTTGGAGGCTGAGCAGGGGGTTTCTCTTGAAGGGTTGGAGGCTGAGCAGGGGGTTTCTCTTGAAGGGTTGGAGGCTGAGCACAGGGTTTCTCTTTAAGGGTTGGAGGCTGAGCACAGGGTTTCTCTTTAAGGGTTGGAGGCTGAGCAGGGGGTTTCTCTTTAAGGGTTGGAGGCTGAGCAGGGGGTTTGTCTTTAAGGGTTGGAGGCTGAGCGCGGGGTTTCTCTTTAAGGGTTGGAGGCTGAGCACAGGGTTTGTCTTTAAGGGTTGGAGGCTGAGCAGGGGGTTTCTCTTGAAGGGTTGGAGGCTGAGCAGGGGGTTTCTCTTGAAGGGTTGGAGGCTGAGCAGGGGGTTTCTCTTGAAGGGTTGGAGGCTGAGCAGGGGGTTTCTCTTTAAGGGTTGGAGGCTGAGCACAGGGTTTCTCTTTAAGGGTTGGCCCTATTTTTCACTAAAGCTGTGGGGAGTCCTGGCACCATCCTCACTTTAATATGCTGAAGTGGTTTTGCTTTATAACCACTTACAATTCATTAATGGATGGTGTCGTGTATTGCTTCCATTTGTCCTGTATTAAGTGTGATCTCTCTCGTTGCAGTCTGTAAGAGCTGCATTGTGAAATATCTGCAGACCAGCAAGTACTGCCCACTCTGTAACATCAAGATCCATGAGACCCAACCCCTTCTGAACCTCAAACTGGACCGGGTCATGCAGGACATCGTCTATAAACTGGTACCAGGACTGCAGGAAAGTGAGTATGTCTATCATCGCCTCGCTAAATGACGAGGAACGTTTGACACTGACAGTTTCTTATGATTAGACAATGTGGGGGTGTTAGTGCGAGGGGGTGCGGCTGTGTTAGGTTGTAGTGCTGGGCTGGCCTCCTGATTGGATGATTAGACAATGTGGGAGGTGTTAGTGCGAGGGGGTGCGGCTGTGTTAGGTTGTAGTGCTGGGCTGGCCTCCTGATTGGATGATTAGACAATGTGGGAGGTGTTAGTGCGAGGGGGTGCGGCTGTGTTAGGTTGTAGTGCTGGGCTGGCCTCCTGATTGGATGATTAGACAATGTGGGAGGTGTTAGTGCGAGGGGGTGCGGCTGTGTTAGGTTGCAGTGCTGGGCTGGCCTCCTGATTGGATGATTAGACAATGTGGGAGGTGTTAGTGCGAGGGGGTGCGGCTGTGTTAGGTTGTAGTGCTGGGCTGGCCTCCTGATTGGATGATTAGACAATGTGGGGGTGTTAGTGCGAGGGGGTGCGGCTGTGTTAGGTTGTAGTGCTGGGCTGGCCTCCTGATTGGATGATTAGACAATGTGGGAGGATTGGCCTCCTGATTGGATGATTAGACAGCGGCTGTGTTAGGTTGTAGGGCTGGCCTCCTGATTGGATGATTAGACAATGTGGGAGGTGTTAGTGCGAGGGGGTGCGGCTGTGTTAGGTTGTAGTGCTGGGCTGGCCTCCTGATTGGATGATTAGACAATGTGGGAGGTGTTAGTGCGAGGGGGTGCGGCTGTGTTAGGTTGTAGTGCTGGGCTGGCCTCCTGATTGGATGATTAGACAATGTGGGAGATGTTAGTGCGAGGGGGTGCGGCTGTGTTAGGTTGCAGTGCTGGGCTGGCCTCCTGATTGGATGATTAGACAATGTGGGAGGTTTTAGTGCGAGGGGGTGCGGCTGTGTTAGGTTGTAGTGCTGGGCTGGCCTCCTGATTGGATGATTAGACAATGTGGGAGGTGTTAGTGCGAGGGGGTGCGGCTGTGTTAGGTTGTAGTGCTGGGCTGGCCTCCTGATTGGATGATTAGACAATGTGGGAGGTGTTAGTGCGAGGAGGTGCGGCTGTGTTAGGATGTAGTGCTGGGCTGGCCTCCTGATTGGATGATTAGACAATGTGGGAGGTGTTAGTGAGAGGGGGCGGCTGTGTTAGGATGTAGTGCGGCTGTGTTAGGATGTAGTGCTGGGCTGGCCTCCTGATTGGATGATTAGACAATGTGGGGGTGTTAGTGCGAGGGGGTGCGGCTGTGTTAGGTTGTAGTGCTGGGCTGGCCTCCTGATTGGATGATTATAGAATGTGGGAGGTTTTAGTGCGAGGAGGTGCGGCTGTGTTAGGTTGTAGTGCTGGGCTGGCCTCCTGATTGGATGATTAGACAATGTGGGAGGTGTTAGTGAGAGGGGGTGCGGCTGTGTTAGGATGTAGTGCTGGGCTGGCCTCCTGATTGGATGATTAGACAATGTGGGGGTGTTAGTGCGAGGGGGTGCGGCTGTGTTAGGTTGTAGTGCTGGGCTGGCCTCCTGATTGGATGATTAGACAATGTGGGAGGTGTTAGTGCGAGGGGGTGCGGCTGTGTTAGGTTGTAGTGCTGGGCTGGCCTCCTGATTGGATGATTAGACAATGTGGGAGGTGTTAGTGCGAGGGGGTGCGGCTGTGTTAGGATGTAGTGCTAGGCTGGCCTCCTGATTGGATGATTATACAATGTGGGGGTGTTAGTACATAGAGCGAAGGGTTGTGTTAGGATGTAGTGCTGGGCTGGCGTCCTGATTGGATATGTAGATAATGCATGGTGTTCTTTCTTTGTTAGATGAGGAGAATCGGATCAGAGACTTTTATCACTCCCGTGGCTTGGAGCGAGTACTCCAGCCAAGCGCAGTGGAAGGTAAGTTCTAGAATGTCTCTCCTTATTGCTATTTGTTTGTAGCTCAGTGTTCTGTGAGCCATGGCTGTCCTCCATGAACCATGGATGACTAACTAACTGCCTGATATCTTCCACAGATCCCGTCGGTGAGGTTTCCCGACACTCCCTCTCGCTGTCAGTGTCCCAGAACACGGCACATTATTACAGAAACGACGAACAAGTCTGTCTCTGTTTAGAAAAAGTCAGGTGAGGATCGATGCCTGTCAGCTCTGATTAACGACGTTTCACATGTAACAATGTCTGCGGAATGGTTTCATGGTTTGGGGGTACAGACAGTACACGGCAATGGGGTGTATTGTATGGTTTGGGGGTACAGACAGTACACAGTGATGGGGTGTAGCACTCAGTATGGTTTGGGGGTACAGGCAGTACACGGTGATGGGGTGTAGCACTCTATGGTTTGGGGGTACAGGCAGTACACGGTGATGGGGTGTAGCACTCTATGGTTTGGGGGGTACAGGCAGTACACGGTGATGGGGTGTAGCACTCTGTATGGTTTGGGGGTACAGGCAGTACACGGTGGTGGGGTGTAGTACTCGATGGTTTAGGGTACAGGCAGTACACTGTAATGGGGTGCAGCACTCAGTATGGTTTGGGGGTACAGGCAGTACACTGTAATGGGGTGTAGCACTCTATGGTTTGGGGTTACAGGCAGTACACAGTGATGGGGTGTAGCACTCTATGGTTTTGGGGTACAGGCAGTACACGGTGATGGGGTGTAGCACTCTATGGTTTGGGGGTACAGGCAGTACACGGTGATGGGGTGTAGCACTCTATGGTTTGGGGTACAGGCAGTACACGGTGATGGGGTGTAGCACTCTATGGTTTGGGGGTACAGGCAGTACACGGTGATGGGGTGTAGCACTCTAAGGTTTGGGGTACTGACAAGTGATGATTACATATAGCAGTGTATGTTTAAGAATTTCAGGTTAGAACTGTCTGGCTTACATGACATTTTGTGTGAGCTGTGCAGTCATGGGGTGCATGGCAATGGCTAATCCTTTGCTCTCTGTCACTTGCAGTTCTGGTAAAGACAAGAAGAAGTTTCTCCTACAGGTAACCCTGAGTTTAGCGTTTAGCTCATCCCCCGCTGCCCTCCTGTGCGTGCCCATGATAAATAAAGTCTCCTTCACTCCTGTTTTACAGCAGAAATATGTGAGATGTTCTGCACGTTCGGAAGTTCGCCACCTGCGCAGAGTGCTCTGCCACCGACTTAGTGTTCCCCCTCCACACGTAAGTAAATTTCTTCTGTAACGGAGTGCATGACTGGCCCCCTATTCCTTTAGATTTACACGCACTGTCTTCACTAGGTCCAGCTTCTGTTTGACAATGAGACTCTGCCGGACAATATGACCATGAAGCAGTTGTGGCTAACGCGTTGGTATGGGAAGGTGAGTGTATAGTTTAAGGGAACGTCGGTACTGTCCCTTGTCTTTGGGGGGCATTCATTGGATCTTTATCAGACCATAGACAGATAATGGGACTTCCACATATATTAGAAGTTAGACCTTTTTAAAGTTTGCATCTTGATGTACCCTGGTGGGTGGCTTGCCACCTAATCTCGAAGCCAGAACTCCGTCCAAGATTTGGGCATTTGCTAATTCTCTTCCAATGGGTATATGGACAAACCTTGTCTAGTGTTCCTGGGGGAACCATTTGGCTGGTGGTGGGATTGGTGTTGGCTATAGTTTGTTTGGTTTTCATTTAATTTTTTTTCTGTCTTCCAGCCGGCTCCGCTGGTCTTATCATATAGCGTGAAGGAGAAGAGGAGGTGACCGCCACATTGTATGAAAACTGTATATAAATGAAATGAGTGTCCTATATATAGTAACACACCCCGACCAGGCTGGTACAGTTTACAGGGGTGTTTAGGATTGATTCCAGCATGGTCCGCGTCTGTGGATCTGACGCAAGAGTTCTTAGGTAAAGACTGACTGCAGTGCCTTACGTCTCCGTGATGGGCGACGCCTGCTTTCTATGGATTCGTTTTCATTTGAAAAACAATTTTGCCCCTTTTTATTAAAAGGAAAAAAAAAATTTCTGGTAGTGTCAAGTTGGTGGGAGTGCAATGTTTGTCTATATCTCAAGCTTTGGCGGGCTGTGGTTTTGGTGAATAAAAAGGTATAAATTTCTGATTTTTGGAAGGCTAGTTCAGCATATTGAGAGCAGATCATTAAGATAAGCTATTCACGGGGATTCCAGTATTTTGAAGCAAATCTAATATATTGCTCAGCATATCTATAAGAATTGAATTTAAACAATTGTTAAAGGGTTTCTCCAACCCTTATTACTAATAAGGTTTGTCATTTGCCCCATCTAGGTTCCACACTTTAAAACTTCACTATTTATAGTTGTAACTGTAATGTAGCTCCATTCAAAGTTTGGGGTGCTGATCTCCTCCAGCCAATGTCACGGCAGCCCCTCCAATCAGTCCTGCAAAGCTGGAAAAAAAGACATGTTTCCATCAAGTCCAGCCTTTCTTACATAATTTTTGTTGATGATTGAAAAGAAGGCAAAAAAAAGTTTGAAGCGCTTTACATTTTTGCAACAAACTAGAAAAACAGATGTTTCAAAATTATATCATTGAATATTCTGTTTTTTGCAAGTATGCATCTAGTTGCTGTTTAAACATCTGTATGGACTCTGATAAAACCACTTCTTCAGGCAGAGAATGTCACATCCTTTGCCTTAGACTAAATCTCCTTTCTTCCAGTCTAAAGGCATGTCCTATAACAATTCCCAAATCCTTCTCATGTGTAAGTTCCTTGTGCATTCTTGACCCCGAAGTGCATAACTTTGCATTTTTTCTACATTAAATTTCATCTGCCATTTTAGTGCCCAGTCCCCGTCTATCCAAATCCCTCTGCAGCCAAGCAATATCCTGCTCACATTTTATTACTTTACAAAGTTTTGTCACCTGCAAACACTGAAACATGACTTCCAATGCTTTTTTTTTTTTTTTCAAGATCATTTATAAACATGTTAAATAGAACAGAACCCTGAGGGACACCACTTACCACCGCTGTCCAGATTGAAAATTTACCATTAATGACAACTCGTACAGGCAGTACACGGTGATGGGGTGTAGCACTCTATGGTTCCTTTAAAGAGACTCTCCAGTGCCAGAAAAACAAACCGTTTTCCTGGCACTGCAGGTCCCCTCTCCCTTCCACCCCCAAAACCCCTTCAGTGACTTACCTGTATCCAGCGCTGATGTCCCTCGGCGCTGGTTCAAGGTCCGCCCACGCTCCTCCACCGCCGTCAACCGGCAGGGGAGACCCATTGCGCATGTGCGGCCGTCTAGTAGACAGCCACTAGAGGAGAAGTTAAACCTGCAAGATAATTGTTGCAATTTATGAAAACTGCAATACACTTGCAGGGTTAAGGGTAGTGGGAGTTGGCACCCAGACCACTCCAATGGGCAGAAGAGGTCTGGGTGCCTGGAGTATCCCTTTAAGCCAATGTTTTACCCAAGAACAGGAATACTCATCTAGTGCGATTTCCTTGAGTTTGAAGACTAATCTGTTGTGTGGAATTGTATCAAATGCCTTGGCAAAATCCAAGTAGATCACATCCACTGCAACACCCTGATCTATACTTCTACTTACTTCTTCGTAGAATTCAATCAAGTTAGTTTGACATGACCTGTGCTTCATAAAATCGTGCTGATTATTGCTAATAACAAAGTTCTTCCCAATGAATTCCTGAATAGCCCTTCACATATTTTCCCAGTCACAGAAGTTAAGCTCACAGGTCTATAATGTCCAGGCAAGAATTTTGAACCCTTTTAAAATGTAGGAACCACATCTGCCTTCCTCTAATCTTCCGGAAAACTCTTCTTGAAAGAGTAAAAACACTTCACTTTTCACTTTCCCCCACTTCGTTTCTTAAGTACTCGTGGCTGAATACCTTCAGGCCCTGGAGCTTTGTTTACATTAAAGGAACACAGTGTTTTTAAAAAGCTTACCTTTATTCCAGCGTTGGCCCTGCCGCCGCTCCGGATCCCTGGCTGAGATCCTCCGAATTGGTGATCTCAGTCAATACAATGCTTAGCCATACGGAAGCATTGGGAGGTGTAGCGGAACACCAATATTAAATCCACGAATTCCGCTGGTTCAGGAAGTAATCCACAGTCAAGCGCTGGAAAAAGCAAGGCAATATCCCAAATCTCCCAGTAACCGGATGAAACACAGTTCTGAGAGTCGACAGGTCTTTTATTTCAGCTCCACAACTTATACAAGTCCCCATGCAAGGGGTTTCCTTTCCCAGGGGCAGTCCCAGAGGGGACTACATGGGGGACTTATTGTACAAGCTATTTCTCCCATCAGGCACTGCTGCACGAGAGGGATCCTCCCACTGGAATATACCGTTAAGTGGATTATCCCTCCGTGCAGCAGAACCGACAATTTATATTAAAATGCATAACTGTGGTAATATACGGTCTATTTGCACGAATGGACGTTCGGTAGATAGCTTGGGTCTGAGCGCATCATTCGTGAGATTACCACTCACATCCCAGCTAAAACAACCGAACGCCCCACGAAAAACACATTTATTAAAAGACATGTTAAATGACCGATTGCCTTCCAGGGAACAAAGTACCGAACGGCCTGGAGGCTCGTTTTTAGTACCATGCGCTCGACGACCTAACACCGCTGCGGGAACAAAGGATCCATGATGGCCGACCGCCGCATGGTCTGTAGTCGAACGGCGGCCACCTAGGAGAGCCTCTAATTACCGATTGCAACAATGTTGCAATCGGTTAACAAGCGCCACACGCCTCTAAGTGTGTGGGCTATTACATGGGGGTGTTTTCGGTTCACGAACGGCCCGCAAAAGTGCCGTTCGTGAAACGAAAGAAAAACCCAATACAAACAGCCATCTGCATTCGGCAGATGGTCAATACAACAAATACATGTAAATTACAACCCGCATACATTCAACATAGTTAAGCCCATATCTCCCAACCATATAGGCAACCCTTAAAGGCACAGTCTCGTTATAGTGTCCAAGTGGCTATGTTTGCCACAGGAGGGTAATCTGCACGAAACGCTGCTCTACGCCAATTAGCATCTCATAGAGAAGATGTAATCAATGCATCACTATGGGGAAAGTCTCCATGCATGTTCTGGTCACTATAGTGTCCCTTTAACATTCTTTAGTTACTGCAGCACCTTGTCTCGAGTCATCCAATCACAATTTTACTGTACGTTTTTTTTTTGCAGCAGTCTTTTGCATGTCCCTTGCCATAGAATTCTCTATATACAGAGGAAAAAAAAAATGTTATTTAAAATTTCTGTCTTTTCCTGGTCTTCATTAACTAACGTCCATCTCTGTTCAGTGTACCTACACTTTCATTTTGGGGATTTTTAGAATTTATGCACTTAAATGTTGGGGAGTTGGTTTTGCTGTCTAGGCCAGGGGTACCCAACCCAGTGCAAATAGGCGATTAGATTAGCTAAACTTCAAAATGAGGAAATGATAGCCTAGAGCAGTGATGGCGAACCTTTTTGAGCCCGAGTGCCCAAACCGCAATACCTGCCAACTTTATTTTCCTCAAAGTGCCAAAACGCCAATTAAACCTGAATCCGGAGGTTTAAGTTTAGAAAAAAAAACCACATACAGTTGTCTGAACTAATTAACATATTCTGTTTTAAGAGAAGAACACAACAGAGAGTTCAATGATACAAATTTTAAATTATGATATAAATAGATAAAATTAAGTTTATATTTATTAGTATCTCCAAAAATGCAATACATGCACACAGACTGCTGAACACATTCACACACCGACTGCTTAATACACACACACCGACACACAGACCGTCCGCTAAATACACACAATGTCTGCTGAATATACACACAGACTGCTCAATAAATACACTGCTGAATACACACACACTGCTGAATATATACACTGCTGAGTTCACAGTCTGCTGAAAACACACACACATACTGCATTCAGGGGTGCAGTGTGAGTGTGAGGGGTGTGGAGTGTGTGTGAGGGATGCTGTGGTGGGGGGTAGGGTGCTGTGTGTGTGAGGAAGATATATTTAAAAGAAAAAAGTGTATTAAATCTGTAACCCGCCCTCCCTTCTTCTTACCTTTGGTGAAGGGGGGGACATCCCTGGTGGTCCGGTGGTGGTAAGTATGTGACTGGGATGCAGCTCTCCTGTCCTCCCGCGCAATGCTGTGTGGAGTGTTGCCATGACAACGAGAGCTGCTTCCTAGATCCCTCCCCCCCCGCTTCCGGTCCTCCCGACACGGAAGCAGAGTAGGCGCCTGCCGTTTTGGGCAGGCAAGTGCCTACTCTGCATTGCTGCAGACAGACAGTGGCTCCCTTCCCCTGGCGACCTATGGCGGCGTGCCCACAGAGGGGGCCCAGCGTGCCACAGGTTCGCCATCACTGGCCTAGAGCAGTGGTTCCCAACCCAGTCCTCAAATACCCTCTAACAGTCCAGGATTTAGAGATTACCCTGGTGTGTCTAAAGTGTTTTTTGTTTTTTTTTCTACAAACAAGTTAAACACAACTGGGTAATACCTAAATCCTGGACTGTTAGATGGTACTTGAGGACTTTTTGCATGTATTATTGGGTTCCTCATATGTATTTTAGGATGTCTCCTGATTCGTCGGTGATTGGACTGTATTGCTGGCTCAGAGCGTATGCGTTTGGAGGGAGTAATTTTTTATTATTTAAAAAAAAAAAAATTTATTCATGTAATGGAAAGAGGTAGATGGACTGCACAGAAAGAGGCGTAAGCAAAACTTGCAACATATGTAATATATCCATAGAATTGACTGGGGCTAGTTACTATATGAGTCATACGTACATGGTTCATAGCCCCCGGCCTGTTATATATCTCTGGATCTGCAGTGTTTCAAACTGAAATTTGATATTTAATACGTGTATTCCCAGAGATTCAATACAGTCAATATGCATACTTCCGGGGATATGATACATTCAATACGTGTACTCCTGGGGATACGATACATTCAATACATGTACTCCTGGGGATACAATACAATCCATACGTGTACTCCCGGGGATACGATACATTCAATACGTGTACTCCTGGGGATACGATACATTCAATACGTGTACTCCCGGGGATACAATACAATCCATACGTGTACTCCCGGGGATACGATACATTAAATACGTGTACTCCCGGGGATACGATACATTCAATACGTGTACTCCCGGGGATATGATACATTCAATACGTGTACTCCTGGGGATACGATACACTCAATACGTGTACTCCTGGGGATACAATACAATCCATACGTGTACTCCCGGGGATACGATACATTAAATACGTGTACTCCCGGGGATACGATACATTCAATACGTGTACTCCTGGGGATACGATACATTCAATACGTGTACTCCCGGGGATACGATACATTCAATACATGTACTCCCGGGGATACGATACATTATATACGTGTACTCCTGGGGATACGATACATTATATACGTGTACTCCTGGGGATACGATACATTCAATACGTGTACTCCTGGGGATACAATACAATCCATACATGTACTCCTGGGGATACGATACATTCAATACATTTACTCCCGGGGATACGATACAGTCACTACATGTACTCCTGGGGATACGATACATTAAATGCGTGTACTCCCGGGGATACGATACATTCAATACGTGTACTCCCGGGGATACAATACAATCCATACGTGTACTCCCGGGGATACGATACATTAAATACGTGTACTCCCGGGGATACGATACATTCAATACGTGTACTCGCAGGGATACGATACATTAAATACGTGTACTCCTGGGGATACGATACATTCAATACGTGTACTCCTGGGGATACGATACAATCCATACATGTACTCCTGGGGATACGATACATTCAATACGTGTACTCCCGGGGATACGATACAATCCATACATGTACTCCCGGGGATACGATACATTAAATATGTGTACTCCCGGGGATACGATACATTCAATACTTGTACTCCTGGGGATACGATACATTCAATACGTGTACTCCCGGGGATACGATACATTATATATGTGTACTCCTGGGGATACGATACATTCAATACGTGTACTCCTGGGGATACAATACAATCCATACATGTACTCCCGGGGATACGATACAGTCACTACATGTACTCCCGGGGATACGATACATTAAATACGTGTACTCCCGGGGATACGATACATTCAATACGTGTACTCCCGGGGATACGATACATTCAATACGTGTACTCCTGGGGATACGATACACTCAATACGTGTACTCCTGGGGATACGATACAATCCATACGTGTACTCCCGGGGATACGATACATTAAATACGTGTACTCCCGGGGATACGATACATTCAATACGTGTACTCCTGGGGATACGATACATTCAATACATGTACTCCCGGGGATACGATACATTATATACGTGTACTCCTGGGGATACGATACATTCAATACGTGTACTCCTGGGGATACAATACAATCCATACATGTACTCCTGGGGATACGATACATTCAATACATGTACTCCCGGGGATACGATACAGTCACTACATGTACTCCTGGGGATACGATACATTAAATGCGTGTACTCCCGGGGATACGATACATTCAATACGTGTACTCCCGGGGATACGATACAATCCATACGTGTACTCCCGGGGATACGATACATTAAATACGTGTACTCCCGGGGATACGATACATTCAATACGTGTACTCCTGGGGATACGATACATTCAATACGTGTACTCCTGGGGATACGATACAATCCATACATGTACTCCTGGGGATATGATACATTCAATACGTGTACTCCCGGGGATATGATACAATCCATACATGTACTCCCGGGGATACGATACATTAAATATGTGTACTCCCGGGGATACGATACATTCAATACTTGTACTCCTGGGGATACGATACATTCAATACATGTACTCCCGGGGATACGATACATTATATATGTGTACTCCTGGGGATACGATACATTCAATACGTGTACTCCTGGGGATACAATACAATCCATACATGTACTCCTGGGGATACGATACATTCAATACGTGTACTCCTGGGGATACAATACAATCCATACATGTACTCCCGGGGATACGATACAGTCACTACATGTACTCCTGGGTATACGATACATTAAATACGTGTACTCCCGGGGATACGATACATTCAATACGTGTACTCCCGGGGATAGGATACATTAAATAAGTGTACTCCTGGGGATACGATACATTCAATACGTGTACTCCCGGGGATACGATACATTCAATACGTGTACTCCTGGGGATACGATACATTCAATACGTGTACTCCTGGGGATACGATACAATCCATACATGTACTCCTGGGGATATGATACATTCAATACGTGTACTCCCGGGGATACGATACAGTCAATACATGTACTCCTGGGGATACGATACATTAAATACGTGTACTCCCGGGGATATGATACATTCAATACGTGTACTCCCGGGGATACGATACATTCAATACGTGTACTCCTGGGGATACGATACAATCCATAAATGTACTCCTGGGGATATGATACATTCAATACATGTACTCCCGGGGATACGATACATTAAATACGTGTACTCCCGGGGATACGATACATTCAATACGTGTACTCCCGGGGATAGGATACATTAAATAAGTGTACTCCTGGGGATACGATACATTCAATACGTGTACTCCCGGGGATACGATACATTCAATACGTGTACTCCTGGGGATACGATACATTCAATACGTGTACTCCTGGGGATACGATACAATCCATACATGTACTCCTGGGGATATGATACATTCAATACGTGTACTCCCGGGGATACGATACAGTCAATACATGTACTCCTGGGGATACGATACATTAAATACGTGTACTCCCGGGGATATGATACATTCAATACGTGTACTCCCGGGGATACGATACATTCAATACGTGTACTCCTGGGGATACGATACAATCCATAAATGTACTCCTGGGGATATGATACATTCAATACATGTACTCCCGGGGATACGATACAGTCAATACATGTACTCCTGGGGATACGATACAGTCAATACATGTACTCCTGGGGATACGATACATTAAATACGTGTAATCCCGGGGATACGATACATTCAATACGTGTACTCCCGGGGATACGATACATTCAATACGTGTACTCTTAAAGAGATTCCTCCTTATAATCACTTGCTTCCTTGGGGAAGTGGAGGTTACGTTATTTTCCCCCACATCG